AAAAAAAAAAAAAAAAAAAAAAAAGAGAAAGAATACCTTCAGTCTATCGTTGGTGAAAGTGTGAGCGAGAAACCGCACAGACCCACAGAGAAGCGTTCCTTTTAGGAATGAGTAGGTTAAAGCAGAGTGGGACTGCGCAGATAGTTTCTTGATAATGTGAAAATACGGTGTTTCGTAAACTATGCGATACCATCGTAATTGGAAATGAACCATGCTGGTAGCTGTTAAACAGTGCTGTTGAGTAAGTGGTTAGGAATGCGCTCTTATCGCGCCCCTCGATGAGCGCCAGCGTGAGGAGTTCGCACTGCCTTGGCGCCCCGCCTGCCCTGCCCTGCAGTGGTTCAGTCACTCTGAGGTGCAACCCAGACTGTCGGAGAGGCCTCAGCACACCCCCACGTTCAGCAGCTCCACATGTCCATTAACCCAGCCGGGGAGGAACTCGCTCCTTCAGAATGCCAGACTTTTCCCGAAATAGCTTTGTTTGCATTTGCAGGTTCTGACTTTTCCACAAGTTCAGAAATTCACATGATCAGCTAAGGTCTTATTCTGGGAGGCAAGGGGCGGGGAAACGAACTGCTGTAAATACTTTTTAGAAAGTAAAAAAAGTACGCAGACACCAGAAATCACAGTCAGAATGCATTGTTCTCTTCTCCGACTCCCTTCCTGGTGGAAAATGGCACTTTATCACGTTAGAGTAACATAACGCAAGACGGGCGAATGGTCTTCGTGAAAACGTTCCCTCTCCGCTGTGAATGCTGGACGGCCGGGAAAGAGGACACTGGAGGCTGGAGGTCGGCCTGAACCATCTTGGGTCTTTTCTTAGCCTTTTTCTCTGCAAGCCAGACAACTAACAGTGATTAATAGAAGATCTATCAATGCAGGAGCTCTCGCCGTGTAATTTAGAATTCAGTTCTGAGTCCACAGCGCACAAGATCGTGAGCTCCTGCGTCGTCCTTCTCATTGTCCATGAGGATTTCTGGCTACTACTTTGCGGAGCTCAAATTCAGATTCAGGTGTCTGTGACTGCCAAAGCCTGCGGTCTTCCTGCGTCAGGCCATTGCCTTGAAAGGCTTCCACCCAAGTGAGAAACAATGGCCGTCTGGGTAACAGTCACCATAAAATTTTCTCTTTCTAAGTAAAGTTAATAAAAGGAAGTAATAATACTGAGAATATTTATATTTTTAGAAATCTAATTATGGCTGTCTTCCACCACCATTCTGAAAGAAGCTTTTCCTCTCGGTGTCTTTTGCATGCTTTGACTGAATGCGATCGGGTTTTATTCCCCCCACCTCCCCACTAAATTTTTGTTAAGCAGGTATTGGGATACAAAAGTACCGTTAAATTTCATTTAAAACGTATTTTAGGGCAGGGCGTGGTGGCGCACGCCTGTAATCCCAGCACTCGGGAGGCTGAGGCAGGAGGATCGTTGTGAGTTTGAGGCCAGCCTGGGCTACAAAGTGAGCTCAAGGCCAGTCTGAACTGCAGAGCGAGACCCTGTCTCAAAAAGACAAAAAAAAAAAAAAAAAAAAAACAAAAAAACAAGAAACCCCCCCGTATTTTATTAATAGGATTCTAAAAAGGAATTGTTTTCCAGGTTCCCTTGATTTAGAGCTGAATTTAACCACTTGGGGAGCATAGTAAGATCAACACCCATGGGCCCATGTGGACTGACTCAACGAGAGATGGAAACGTGAACTGTCACTGAGATAGTCTGTGATTTCCCTCCCCGAACTCTCCCCTCTCACTCCCGCAGAATGAACCCGCTCTAGAACTGTATTCATTTCTCACTGGTTTTTATTAGCTTTTGTTGCCGTTTCATCGTAATCTTCCATGAGTGAGTATCCTTACACTAAAATTTAAAATATTGAATCACAGGTGCATGGACATAAACACCTCACTGTATGTGGTTGAAAGGACCAGTGAGTGTAATGCATGATGTAAGAGTTGGTCCCAGCCAGTGCGAAACCGTGATTATGAAACCTTAGAAAATAGGCCTTGCTGTTTTACTGAACATGAAAGATCCATGTTAGATGCTTTCTCCATGTTAGGGTTTTTTTTTTAGCATCAGTATTGTATGTTTTTCCCTGCATATTTGCCAGATGTAAGGAAATCAATGACTTCGGACTCTAGCTATTGTGTATTATGATGTCTGATCACGTGAGTTATATTTAATTATATATTTACAGAAAATCCAAGTTAATTTTCAGATTTTGTAGACTTTAAAATCAAATTACCTTTTCAGGCTGAAGTTTTTGTCTGTATGTCTGACTTTAGGCAGGGTCTTACTATGTAGTTAGGCCTTGAACTTATTATGTAGCCCAGGCTGGCCTCAAACTTGAGGTGATTCTTCTGCCTCAGCCTCCCAAGTACTGGGATTATAGGCGCGCATTGCCACGCTGAGCTGGTTGAAGTTTTTAAAGTGTTTTTACTTCAGAAAGATTAAAGGGTCATTATGCATTTAGACTATAAATCTTTCATACGTGATTGGAAGTAACATGCTCCTAAAAGGTCTTCTGATGAATGTTTCATATTTATTTAGCTTTCTTCTGTGTTCATCAGTCAGTAGAAGAGATAATACTACATACTGTCATCCATCCTTTTTCTAATAAAAACAGTTATTTAGGAGTAAAATCATGATAAGCCACCACTTTATGAATAATACAGTTCAGGTCGAAGCTGGATTGCTTTAGGCTTGTATTTTAGCAGGTAAGACTTTAAAGTAAAATGTCTCCTTGAATTGTGGAAGTTATTTCAGTATCATCAGAGTGAGAAATCTAGCTCTTTAGCCTTACATATCAGTCAGCCTTCTGTCCCTCGAACAAGTACCTGAAGTGATCAGCTAATGAAGAGAGGATTCACCTGGTGTCACAGTTTTGGAGACTGCCGTGCGTGATCAGCCAGCTTGTTGCTTTGGGTGTAGGCGACACGTCACCGTGGGACACGTGGTGGGGCACAAGCCGCCCCTTTGTGGCACGCAGCAGAAGAGGGACGGAGAGCAGGGTCTCACAGTCTCCTCCCCTGGCTTCCCCCAGTGACGCATGACCTGCCACTAGGCCCCGCCACAAAATCCCCACTGTTTCCTAACCATGTGAAGCTGGGGACCAGGCTTATAATACGTGGGTCATTGGGAGACGCCCATAGCGCCACACAAGCTTTGTCCATGGTGTAGAAATGCTACCTGCTGGCTTTGTGCTGTTGATATACAGAGAAATAGCTTAGGAACTGAAAAAGAAAAGGGCTTTTTTCTTTTAGTTTAAAGAAAAAAAAAATAACGGAGCTTCTTGCCTTCTAACTACTTGAACTCCTGTAATTGACCCGCTCTGTCTTATTCCTATCATACTAGTTATGAGCAAGGCCAGGACTTAACAGTGACAGCACCAGGTAGCCAGTTAAAATTGGTTGCTTTTAGCAAGATATAGCAAATGTGCTAGATGCACAGCTGACTAGGCCTCGTCTCAGGAGAGGCAACAGAGCGAACAAAGTGTGTGATCACGAATAGGATCCATACAACGTCCCTTACCAAACTTTTAAAGAGCTAGTCCACTTCGCCTATAAATCCACACTGAACTGTTTGGTGGGAGAAAAGATGCATGAATTCTCAGAAACTTCAGTGAATGACTCATTCTGAAATGTCTCATGAGTGTCTGGCTTATTTATCATGGAGTCAAAGCTTTACCATTTTGATAGTGCTGAACTTTTGAAACAGGTTTCCATCCCTGCTGTAAGGCCTGTCTCCTAATACAAGCAGGATTCCTTAGCCTGCAAATTTATTCATGGACTGCATAAGCCATGCGATTTTATTTATGTGTATTGCCAGACTAGGCTTTGATCAAGACATTTTGCTATTGAGATTCTCTTAAGTTTTTCTTTTCACTTTTTAAGACATTCTTCCCAAAAAGTTTTTGGCTTTAATTGCATACAAGCAATTAAAGAAATAAACCACTTCATTGATTGCTTTATAAATGTTACTTTTAACACTTTTTGTTAGGATGGACGTTTGAAGCCGGGAGATCAGCTTGTCTCAGTAAACAAGGAATCTCTGATTGGGGTGTCACTGGAAGAAGCAAAAAGCATAATTACCAGAGCCAAGCTGAGGTAACGGTTCTGTACCTAAGATAGAGTGAGTCATTTAACATGTCTCATTAAAAATAGCAATTTAAAGGGCCGGGGATATAGCTCAGGGGCACAAGCACCTGCCTAGCAAGCGCAAGGTCCTGAGTTCTATTCCCAGTACCAAACACACACACACACACACACACACACACACACACACAGACACAAAATAGTAATTTAAGATAACTTAAGTTCTTTAGACCCTCAATGAAATACTTTTAATAATACTTGAAACATGATTTGAGAATTCAGTTGTATTATATCCACTGCATGTCAATAAAGTGATTTCTTTTTAATACTAGGTCCGAATCTACGTGGGAGGTAGCATTCATAAGACAAAGATCTCATGGCAGCTATCTAGAGAATCTGTCCTCTACATCCTTGTTACAAGCTTCAGGAGAATGTGGGCCTCAGGCCTCAACATTTAGTCTTCTTTCTTCTCCCCTGGAAATACGAATTCCACAGACCTCATCGACCCCGAAAACTCAAGATGTCATCTTACCTTCCTCCAAGGTGAGTCAGGTTGTCTTAAATTCTCTGCTTGTAGATTCAATCCATAAATCCCTGATGTGTGGGTTTTTTTTGTTTTGTTTTGTTTTTTTTCTGTTGGTGAAACAGATGCAAAATTGTAATTTTGGGAACACTTTGGTTAACAGATTACTATTTCCTTGGAAGGTTTCTTTTTTTCTGGTTTAGACTTTTATGCTGCATTGTCAGTAAACATTAATTTTTCAAATCAAAGTGTCCTATGTGCAGAGGCATAATCAGTTAGACAATGTCATTGTGGCAAAGTGCTACCATAAGCATATATCTAGACGTAACTCAGAACTGTAAGAACATAATATTTAGTTTCAGACAGTCTCTAATGTGGCCCAGTTCATTTTTATTTTGTTTGATAGATGCTAGGCAACTGTCGTCGTCCCCTTAGCTTGTTTGCTACACAGGGAAGCTAATTCTAATCACCCAGTTGGGATATAGCTCAGTGGCACAAGTGCCTGCCTGGCAAGTGCAAGGAAGGTCCTGAGTTCAATTCCCGGTACCAAAAAAAAAAAAAAAGATTAATTCTAATCACCCAATCTAGGTGGGTATTACTTTCATGTATATATACCAGTAAACAGTTTTCTCTGTTTAAAAAGTCATAAAAAATGGATTTTCTAATATCAAAATAATACAACCAGTTACAAAAGTTATATTGTCCTAAAAAATAAGAATTATAAAATAGAATATATAGTCTTTGAATCTGTGTTAGCTATAAGGTAATACAGGAAACTCAGGCTTGCAGGCAGTGGAATAAATTCTTTAAGGATAACTTTACTTTCAGGAGCATGCTGATCAGAGAGGGTGTGAGAGTTTCTGTCAGCCCCTTAGACTTTGTCATTTGGATTTATAATGTCTTTAAAAAAGACAAGGTTCATGGCCTTAGGTTTTGTTATCCTTGGACACAGTAGATCTGAAAGCAGTTCTTACCTTTAATTCTGAAATGCTTTGTTTGAAGGTGAATACACCAAAATTTTAGAGGTTTTATATCTTTCTGGGATGTTGCTTTAATCTCCTTAACCATTCTTTTTATGTTAGTGTGAACATCCAGTCTGGTCTTTGACCTACTTTAGAAAATGACATTTTATGCTCTCCCCTTTCTTTCACAGATAAAAACTGGATTTGAGAAAACAGAATATATTCCAATTACTTCTTCAGACCACAGCACTATGGATATGGCTAATTCGGGTAAATACACATTTAATTCCTCTTTCTTGTTTTTTTTTTGCAGTTACTCTCTCTCAATGAAGAGAACATAAAAGTTGCATTATGCCTTTTTTCCTTCCATGAATAAAAGAGCAAAATGAATGTATTATCCAGTGGTCCCTGTTAGATTATGACTTTTATTGGAAATTTCCCTGAACAAAGAGTTGAAATTTTAAAAGGTGCATTATTGTAAGTGTCTCTGAAGCTATCCTAGCTAATGAACTGAGACCAAATAATGAACACTCCTGTGAATCTAGATTAGGTTGCCTTGACCTGTTAATGACATACTAATGGGGTAAATTAACTGTACCTTTCAAAACACACATGACAGAAGGGCACGCAGCTTAAGAAAAGAATTGTTTATTTATTTTGGAAGAAATCATATAGATGTAAGTTAGAAAAGGCATCAGTATTGTGGATGTAGTATTACTAGTTTTTATTTACTCTGAAATTATTTACTGACTTTTTAAAACATAAAGCAAAACTTGTCAAACTGCCCATTAAAAAGGATTATTATCAAAATATAAAGTGCTGATTGGTCAAATACCAAGAACAACATCCCTTCCCTGAAACTATTTCCACAAGTTTAGCAAAAGTTGCCAAAAAAAAAACTATTTAGCATAAATAAAATGCTAATTACATATTGCTAAATTATAGTATAAGTTGCTACCCATATATTTAATTTTTAATAGCATCATCTAGGTAATAATTTCAAAGTAAAGAGAGTTATTTAAATTAAATAGTTGCATGGGGCCGAGCATGGTGGCACATGCCTGTAATCCCAGCACTCAGGAGGCTGAGACAGGAGGATCATCATGAGTTCCAGGCCAGCCTGGACTACAAAGTGAGCTCAAGGCCAGCCTGAACTGCATAGCGAGACCCTGTCTCAAAAAGACAAAAATAAATAAATAAATAAATAGCTGCCAGACATGGGCTGGAGGTCTATCCCAGCAATAGAACACATAGTTCAGGCCTTAGATTCAATCTTCTGCAGCCTACCCGCTGAATCTATCAGACTTTACAGGAATTTATGCGAGATTCCATAGTAGTTTCCTCTGATTTGCGGCAATATTTACCAATGGGTTAATGGTACTTTTTACCCAAAATAATATGCTTTTTAATCTAGGGAGATTTGTTGACTCTTAGGAGCTTTGTTAACAGTCTGTATGTAATTAATACTCAGTTTCTTTTTTTTTTTTTTTTGGTCTTTTTGAGACAGGGTCTCGCTATGCAGTTCAGGCTGGCCTTGGGCTCACTTTGTAGCTCAGGCTGGTCTCGAACTCACAGCGATTCTCCTGCCTCAGCCTCCTGAGTGCTGGGATTACAGGTGTGCGCCACCACGCCCAGCGATGCTCAGTTTCTTGATAACACTGTTTTACTTTAAATCGGGAAAGCAGGTGGAAAGAAAGAGGTGAATGAAGCCAACCGTTTAGAGAGAAGTGGATCGAAGTTGCTCAGTGACTGAATCAAGGCCTTTATTCCCTGAGTTTGTCATAACTCATTATATAACACTACATAATGTTTTAGTTTTTAGAGTAACTACACTTCTCAGTGCCTCCTCTAGCTACTTATTTATTCAGTATTTGCTATATATGTCGCATGTACAGAAGACAGTATGGTAGGACTTAAAAAGTCATTAGGATTTTTCTAGGAGGTACTTAATAGCGTATTATGAAATCAATCACAGGTTAAAATTTCATTATTCAAATTAGAAAAAAACTTAAAATATGTATTTGTTTTTATATATGCATATATATGGATATATGGATGGATTTTGTAATACCTTTAGATGAATAATTTAAAGACTTTAACCAAGTGAACCCAGGGAAGAACTGGTAAGCTAATCATGGTGGAGGAGGGTGCCAGTGGCTCCTCCCAGGTTCGGAATGCAAACTCAGACATTCAAATGCTGGCTCCCAGTTTACTAGTTCTATACCTTAGAAGTAGCTGCCTCTTGGGGTTGTACGGGTTAAACAAGCTTGCGCATGTCAAGTACTTAGCGTTGTAATTGGTACACAGTCTATGTTCAGTAAATTTTGCTGTTAGTATTATGGAACCTTAAGCTAGTGTGTAGCTGAGATAATATTTTTGGGCAAATTTCTAGAGTAGAAGTGCAAGCTTCTCATGGTTGAATGTTGTATCCTCCTTTGATCCCCCAAATTAGCACATAGTAAGGGATTTGTCACAATATACAGACATCAATTTAGAAAAATCTCTTGGCCGCTGGGCATGGTGGTACATACCTGTAATCCCAGCACTCTGGGTACCTGAGGCAGGAGAATTGCAAATTCCCAGCCTGCGCACTGTGGCAAATCAGCAAGACCCTGCCTCAAAATAAAAAATGAGAAAAGGGGCTGGGGAGGTAGCTCAGTGTGAAGGCCCTGAATTCTATCCCCAGTACAAAAAAGGGGGATAGGGCTGGGGATTTAGCTCAGCGGCAAAAGCGCCTGCCTGGCAAGCGCAAGGTCATGAGTTCGGTTCCCGGTACTGGAGAAAAACAAAACAAAACAAAACAAAACAAAACAAAACAAAACAAAAAAAACAGAAAAGGGGGATAAGAAATACAGTCATTAGCTTAACAATAGCACAAGCCTTCATTCTTCTGCATGAAGTCTTTGGAAAGAAAATACTGATGAGGAAATAATATCCTCCCAGGGTTGATGGAATTGATCAGATGGTATTGATCCTTCCATTGTAAACATTCCCTTGCTTCTGCTCCTGAGAAGAGGACTAGGACGACAAAACCCAAGAGAATAGTAAGCTATCCTTGAAATGCCTCACTCCTCCCGAGGGGGGCGGGTGAAGAGCTGGAGGCTGGGGTAGAGCTGACACAGGCAGGTGAGCAAGGGTCTCTGCGAGGGACTTCTCGGGCTAAGCTCCTGTCAGTTGCCAAGGTCTTGCGTGCGAGACCCTCTGAAGGTTTGAATGCAAAAGTAAAGATTCAGATGAAAGGTTGAAGAAAGCAAGAAAAAAACATAAGATTTTGCTAAGCTTACTATTTTGCTAAGCATACTATTAAACAGGAGGTTAATACAGTTCTATGTTAAATCACCAATTGATACAGTGTCTCTGTGTGAATATGAACAATACTTTATATCTTCCTGATATTTTTCTATGATTTCATTGATTTTAACTTAAGAGCTCTATGGGTGGTCAGTTTTAGCCTTTCTACTTTACAGATGAGAAAATGATAATAAAAGATTTTGACACATGAGAACATTGTTTTATCGAGTCCTAAGAGATTAGAGTACTTACACTGTTGTGGACTAGCTGTGTAAGACCAGGCCAATTTCTGGGCCTTTGTGGGTCTTGGTTTTTGGAGTGGGAATAGTAACATTGATGTCACTGTGGTGATTGTGAAGATTAATGAGCTTATATGTGCAATAATTAGTTCATTACATGGCTGGAAATAAGCACACACAAGAGTTAGTATTTTGCTATTTCCACTGTTAGAAAATTTTTATGCCCAAATATAAGAAAATGTGAGAGTGATGTCTCGGGGTGTCCTTGTCGCTCCCTGTCTTTCTTCTCTTTGCCTCTTGTTCCAATCTTCTCTGCATCTCTTCCACTCACAATAAGGTTGAGTAATTCACTCTCATAGTTAGTCTTGGAGGCCTTAACTAGGGTACCCCCCCTAGTGTTTGTGTCCATTAATTGCAGGGAAAACTCCAAACTAGAAGTCAAGTCTCATGAGATGAAAAATAATCTGGGATTTGCTCTTCCATACCATTTCAGGGTTCTTTCATGCCAAGCTTAGGGTTTGCTATTGAACTCCTTTTAAGAGAAAAAATATTTTTTAACCCATGGCCAACAATTAGAGGTCATGATAACACAGATTTTCTTGCTTTTGTCAGAAGTATAAAGATTCAGTTACACTGAGACCAATCTTTCTCAAGGTTGAATTCCATTTGGAGATAATAGTCAGTAACCATTTTTTTTTATAATCTTGACACCTATAAGCTATATTAAAGATTTTACATAGAATGTTGAGGATGTGTTAAAGGTTTAGAGGAAGACTATTTATTTTCACATGCGCTTCTTATGTTCTTAAGAAAGAGAATGCAAATCATTTTGTACTTAGAGACAGATGCTCTGAGAAATAAAAAAATTAAAACACTGCATAAAGATGTGACATTTGAAAAAGTTTTTTCTCTTCCTCTTGTTTCTATGTAGAACTAGTAAAATACCATTTAAGAGTGTATTTAGAATAGTGACAATTTAGATGGCAAGGATTGACATAAATTATAGAAATTTGTTTCACAAACTTTATTGAAACAAATGGTTCTTCCAGCTCTAGCTTCTTGTTACACCTGATTTCTTAGTCCTTCAACAAGGACAAAGGGTGTATGTATGTATTGAGGGCATATTGGAAAAGTGTAGGAAAATAGGCAAGAGGTGTATTATTCTCTTCTCTTCAAAGCCTGTGTATGTTACTTGAGGTATAACCTTTCTGTAAAATAAGACAGGAATGTTAGCTCAAAGAGTTCAGAGTCTATATCATACTTATCTACAAATTTAAGATTATTTTCATTTATGAGTTTTTCCAGAGCACTTCCAAAACTCATGTAACAAAACCACTTCTACCAAAGAAATAGCATGAGCTCTTTGAATCTTTGATAGGAGTTTTTTTTTTTTTTTTGAACAAAAGAAAAACTTTTATCTTGCAAGGAGTAAGTTATTGTGATGATGGTCATAGTGGTGGGATGTATGTTTGTCTTCTCAGTTATTATTTCTCTGAGACTTCACAGTGGATAATTGGAGATGCTTTCTGTATATCTTTTAGAGCTCAAGGAAAGCTGATTTATGTGGTACATATTAAGCCTACAGAAAAAAAAAAATCATGAAAACAAAAGTGAAAACTGCCAACTGATTAACCAGAATTACTTCTGAACAGCAGGAGTCCAAAGCACATCCTGTCAAATGAAAAGTTCTCTTCCAATTAAGTCTCCAATTAATGTGCACCCTGTTGTCTCTTAGATGTTGCTCCTGCCTGCACTGATAATTATGGACCACGAGGAAGGAAGATTTCCCTAAACCCTTCTGTTCGCCTCAAGGCAGAGAAACTGGAAATGGTAAATCCCTTAAATTTTCATCTCTCTTTGTAGGGCAATAACAGGAAAGAAGCACTTTCACTTTTTTGAGAGGAGAAAGTACTGGAGTCATTAGTTTCCTAAAGCTACTTATTCACAATTAAATGAATGGTCCTTAGGGCTTAAATTATTTAACTACTGTTTCAGTGGGCGGCTCCTAGGGTTCACTAGTCTCCAATAGAAGTAAAACCTGTTGCAACTACATTGACATTGAAATTAATCAGTTGCTTTCTCTTTGGCAGTCAGAAATACATGATATTTTTCAATCTAGAATGAATGGAAACGTGGAATAAATTAGGCCAAAGGACATTAGGCTTTGTGTGTAATAGCAGTAATTGCAATGAAGTAATGCTCCATTCATTTGCTCAACTTTTAATTTATTGTTTATTTATTTATTTTTTAAAGTTTATTATTTTTTTAAAATTTTATTTATTTTATTTGGTACCGGGAATTGAACTCACAGCCTCGCACTTGTCAGGTAGGTGCTATGTCACTGAGCTATATCCTCGGCTTCTCAACTTTTTAAAAAGCGTAGGACTGCTAAATCCTAAAGGATAAAATAGGTGCCCACTAAATTTAAAAAGAGCTGGGCGGGGTGGCACATACCTGTAATCCTAAAACTCTGGAGGCTGAGGCAGGAGGATCACCAAGAGTGCAAGGCCAGCCCGTGTACATCGTGAGTTTGAAGCCAGGCTGAACTAAGTGAGACCCTGTTTCAATAAATAAATAAAAAGATAGATAGATTGGAGCAGTGTACTCAGTGCCATAAAATAATCCCCGGGAGAGTAAAGGATTGAGATCTTACATATGTCAAAGAAACTTACAATGATTTAAAAAGAGAAATTACATGTGGCCACATGCTTTAAAACTTCTCCTCAGTTTTTTTTAATGTAAAACGGATTTGTGGCTGGAGGTCCACGATCTCTAGCTTCCTGTAAGCTTTTATGAGTAGCGCTTTTGCACATTTCAGAAAGGATATCAAATTCCATAGCTAGGATAAATACACATTGTACTTATTCCACTTTTCTACCTTTACTTGGTCCTGTGGTATTATCTTTCTCATTGCAAATTTGAATCTTATCTATTGTTCGAATGCTGGCTCAATTCCACCTCTGTTGTTCAGACTTAGCTAACTATAATAGATTGCACAATAAAATACTGCCTTATTGTGCATATCTGGAGCACTAACCATTACTTCATATTGCCTTATAATCCTTCTTGTATCTTGCTTTAACAATGAAATTACCTACTTCTTCGAAATGCCTGCCACTGTTCAAACGCATATTTTTTCCTTACAGGAGAGGAAAGAGTTCTCACTTGTCTCAGCTAGGTTCAGGGCATTCCCACTTTTAACAAAAGATAAATTAGCAAGAGAAAAACATAGAAATGTATTTGATATAAGTTTTACCTGGCACAAGGCCTTTAGAAATAAAGACCCAAAAAAACAGAACAATCTGTGTATTTTCATGCTTAGGTTTGGGATGAAGAATAGACAGTTATGGAAGAGTATAATTGGACAAAGGGGATATGACCCAATAGTAATAAGCTGAGGGGAAGGCTGGGCATGGTGGCGCATGGCTGTAATGTCAGCACTCGGGAGGCTGAGATAGGAGGATTATTGTGAGTTCGAGACGAGCCTGGGCTACAAAGTGAGCTCAAGGCCAGTCTGAACTATATAGTGACACCCTGTCTCAAAAAGAGAAAAAAAAAAATTTGAGGGGGAGTGAGAAAAGCTTATTTGTTCAGATTTTTCTGTATCCTTGTCTTTTCAGAAATAAGGATGTGTGTGAATTAAATAACCATGAAACTTTTAAAAAATTTAGTTCAAATAAGATGATATAATTTTTAGGAGGGGCGGTACTGGAGATTGAACCCAGGGTCTCATGAGTGCTAGGCAACCACACTGCACTCTGCTACACTGACCTACACTGCCCAGTCCCTTTAACAAAAGCTTTATTTTGAAACGGGGGTTTTACTGAATTGTTCAGGCCAGCCCCTGACTTGGATTCTTCTTTCTTCAGCCTCTCATATAGCTGGGATTATAGGCATGTGCCACCAATACCTAGCTTATTATAATAATTTTTAAAAGCATACAGTAGATCTAAAAACATACAGAGTAGAAAGCTGGGATATATTGATATTTTAAAGCATGCAGTAGATCCAAAATTGTACAGCATATAAAGCTGAGATATGTTGATAATTTTTAAACATAGAGAATGGTAGAGAAATTTAATATGTGCAAAAATTGATGTAACATATAAATTTACATAAAGATAAATATTTATAGAAAAAATCTGGACTATTACATACCAAGCAGTTAATAGTATTTGTCTCTGGAGCAGTGGTTCTTAAGGCCTAGAGTGGTGCTTTTTCCTTGGGATAGGTAGCAACATCTAGAAACAGTTTTGGTTGTAAATACTGGAACATTGCCTCCAGATTTTTAATCAGTAACAAAAGATGCATCTTTAAAACTACATATGAAAATTTTAAACATATTTCTAAATGACTCATGAGTCAAAAGCACCACTAATAAATGTAAAAGATGTTCAATCTCACTTGTAATTTGGGGAATTCAAATTAACAGCATGTTATTTCATATTCAACATTTGATAAAAAATGGAAGTGTAAAAATAACAAATTCTGTTAAGAATGTAAAAAAATAGGAATGTTTATATACTACTGGTATACATAGACTGGTATAACCAATTTAGAGAAAAATCTAACAATGTCTATTAAGTTCGTAATGTAAATCACCTGTGACTCAACCTTTCCTCTTGGAGGGATATTCTGTACTAGAGAGAAATCAATAAATTTTCATACAACTGTACAACGAGACATGTATAATGTTTTGTAATTTAAAAAAAAACTGGAGTAATTATAAAAGCCCATCAATCAGAAAATGGTACACAAGTTATAATATACCCATATAATTAGGTATCTTTTATAGCTAAAATAAATGAACTAGTTTCACAGATAATAACATCAAATTGTGGACAGGAAGGATACACCACCCTGAGGATAGTATTTATTGCTAAAGAATGATAGAGAAAACTTCCAACTAGATGTGTAATTTTATTGTTCTTTAAATTTATATATAAATTTCAAGCACATGTCAGTGTGTGTTTGATGATAGTGGAATAGAAGTGTGACTTTCGACTTGCTACACGTCAGATGTGCCAAGTTTGTGTTCCCCAAATATCTAAGAATGATTTCCAAGGAAGAGTGGAGCTTAAGAGTAGGCAAGCTTTATTGAGAGAGAGCTGCTGAGAGACAGGAGGGCTCCCAAAAGTGGGTAGTCACCGAGGCCCTTTGTCAGGGGTAATTTATATAGCAAAGTCACAACGTGGGTACGAGGTGGGTCAAACTATAATCAACCTATAGGATTACAAGTATAGCCATTTAGCTAACATTGATCCAATAGGGAAACGAGGCATGTAGCGAGGGTACATGGAAACCAAAAAAACCCAAAAAAAGCAGTTAGTGCCGGGTGTGGTGGTGCATATCTGTAATCCCAGCACTCAGGAGACTGAGGCAGGAGAATCATTGTGAGTTCGAGACCAGCCTGGGCTACAAAGTGAGCTCAAGGCCAGCCTGAACTGCATAGTGAGACCTTGTCCCAAAAAGCCAAAAAAAAGAGGGGGATACATGGCAAAAACAGGCATTTTTGGAAAGGGATGGGTCCAGATGCTCTGGTCACCCATGGGTGCAACTGATGCCTGTCTGAACTTCCTGGACCAGGCGGTGCTAATTACAATATAATCTCAAGTTATTGTTTATCCCCTGGGGGGAGGCATGTAGGCCTGCCCCACTGCATCTTTGTCTTGAGACCTGGCCTTCTTCACAGGCACTTCCATCCAAAATTCTGATGTCTTTGTTTTCTGCTGACCTCTCTGACTGTATATTTATTTCTATCTACCTTACCTGCCTATAATAATAGTAAATGAATGGGCATTCTATGTATTATGCTATTCTTCATATTTGGGCCATTTTAGAAGGGGGAAAAAAACACACAGAAAAACTAAAAATCATTATTCCGGGGGCCAGGGATATAGCTCAGTGGCATAGCGCCTGCCTGGCCTGTGCAAGGTCCTGAGTTCAATTGCCAGTACCAGAAAAAAAAAAGGTTAGCATCATTATTCCATCTTGTAGAAGGTAAATACTCTTGGCTTTGACAGAGCAGGCAGATGATGCTAAATTAAGCTTTAAGAAACTTAAAAGAATGTTTCCTCGTATTCACCTGTGTCTTTTGTTTACCATGCCCCAATTGCATACCGAGGCATTAACCAATAGTTTTTTTTTTTTTTTTTTTTTTTTTTGCTATACTATATCCTATACCTTTGTATTAATTAATTATTGTTAGGTGTGCATAGCCCTACTTTTAAAGTAGGCTTCCTGGAGGGGCAGCATTTTTGCCTCAAAACCGGTTGGTTCTGTGGCAAAGGGGAAGTGAACAGTGGAATCACTGGCAGTCTCAGAACTTTCACTCAGGAATGGGTGCCTTACCCATGACAGGAGCGCCTGCAGAAGGCAGCTGGGGAGTGAGAAAGCCTGTTCCTTTAGTACTTGTGAGAGCCTACCCCCAAATAGGCCAAAAATTATATTTTGTATTTAAATCAATTCCTGCCAATTTCACTTTTGCTTTCAGAGGTAGAGTAGTAACCAAAAACTATTCATGTTTTTGAGTGTCACTTGTCAGTCTGACTTTAATAGGACTCTCTTGCTGATTTTCTTCTGCCAAGTCACGTAAACTAAGAAACAGTTTGACTTTTGGTTCTAGAACTATGCACTAACCAAAGCAGTACCCTGGAAAAAAAATGGAGGTGGTGGTGGAATAATGAAGCTAATTTCTTATAGTCACTTAATCCATAAGCAGTGAGTAGATTCTCCTTGGGCAGACTGTAATTCTGGTCCCTATTCCTAATGTTGACTTTTATTTTCCACTGGGTTAGAAACGGAAGTTTTATTTTTTGGTGATTTAAAAAAAATTGATTCTCGTGTGTCTTTTTTCTTCCAGGCTCTAAAATACCTTGGTATTCAGCCCACAGAGGACCAGCACCAAGCCCTGAGACAGCAAGTACAAGCAGACTCAAAGGGGACAGTGTCTTTTGGAGGTAATTGTAGGTTGGTCAGGTTGTGTGATCACAGAAACCTTGTGAGAGATTTATTGTGACCCATTTTCATTAAGAGTATCTGTTCTTTAGCAGGAGAAATGAAAAGTTAAACCACACGTACTTCAAGTTCCTAATTAGTGCTCTGAAAGTTCAGCTAGAGATACCGGCCTGGCTGGGTCAGCAGAAAGGACGACTTTACGGGAACCTTTCAGCTGTAAAGGATCATCATTGCAGCATATTCTTTTGTATTTATTGCATTAACATCACTTTAGTAATAAATACTATAAAATATAGAAGTCCTATGTAGAAGCCCTGCTGTGAGATTAATTCTAGTTCCTTTTTTCAGCTAATACAAGTATTCGTGTAGTGCTATATAATTATTCTTACAGAGAGACAGTGTAATGTGCCACTTAAATTAATATTTAGCCCTTTGACAGCAATTTTGATGGTTTCTCAGTAGCTGATATTACAGATCTTACATTTATTGTCATATTTATTTATGTATAAATCTGTATATTTTTTAATGAAGCTGTTTTCATTCCTTTTCTTAGAATAAATCCCCACAATGGACTTTTGGTACATATTGATAAATCCTTTTGCAGAGATATTTTACACATCTGTTTGTTCTGCCTCAAGTGACATTTGAGTGGAACAATTTTTTCTATCCTTGACGGCATTTTTGCATTTTTTTTCTTATATAGTAGAGGTAGTATTGTATCATTTTTATAATATCTGCATTATTTAAAAATTTACATTTTAGTTTGGTAATGAGTGAAATAAAGGGTATTTTTGGTCCCACACTGTCTTGAAAATTGTGCCAAAATGGTAAGACAACATACATACATAATCAAAGCACAATATTTAAGGACAGAAAGCAGATGAGGAAAATACAGCAAATGAGTTAGTGAGCAGAGGCAAGAAAATCTCAGGTGTCTGAAGACTTTGGGAAGTTACTTTAGGGAACAAGCTGCTTTGACCCTTGAGACTTGAAAGCATCGGGTATTTCTAAAGTTTAGACTTAGGCAGCACATGTGATATGAAACAATTTTTAGCAGTGTTTCTAAAGAGAATTACATATGCTGGTGTTCCCCTGCTCCTTCTCAAGCAGTCCGGCACCTACCACTCCCTTACAGCTCCCGGGGAAAAAGAAGTCTCTTTCCTTAGAAATTAAACCAGAGAGATTATGGATGTATAGTTGCTAGCAGCAAGAGTTCGGGGGAGTGAGTCATTGCTCATCACATATACCCATATTGCTCAGTGAAATCTGCAGCCGTATCTATGATCATAGGCAGGAGGTGTAGGATTCTCTCTAAAGAAGCAGAAGAAAATGTCAACTGGCACACTGGACTGCCCTATCATTTAATCTGCCATTTCATAAGGCAAGTTCTGTACCCAGAATTTCCAGCTAACTCTTTTGGTAGCAGAGTCTTAATTATAAACTCATAGCCAAGGGTTACCAGACACACTGGGAAATCCTCCAACATAAATTATATAGCCCACAAGTACCAGACATACAGAAAAAGGACCTCAGGTGAAAAATGAATGATAAAGACGTGAAGAGAACTTCAGAAAAACTATACTTAACATCTCTGAAAAGATAAATCAAGATAATGAATGTGTTCATGAAATAACAGCACGAAACTGTAAAATAGGAACAATCAGGGAAAATTTGAAAGGATCCTTGGCAATTGCAAATATAATAGCTAAAATTCAAAATACTTAGGATACGTAGAGAAACAGGTCACCAGTGGTACTGAAAGAAGCTGCTGTTTATTTACCATGTGGTTTTGGCCAACCTAAGATAGTTACGCATTCATCTATAAAACGGAGAGAAAACAAGGACCTCCCTCAGAAGATTGCTAGAGGGTGACATTACTGAGCACCATGCCTGGGGTGTAGTAGCTGCTATGTAAACATTAGCTGCTGCTGTTCTTAGTAAACTTCACATTTTTTCAGGTAGAAAAATAAGTCATTGTACTGTGTCAGAAAAAGTTCTACTTATAATACAAGAGTTGGAGAATGAAATATGTATGATATCTTAGTTACTTTTTTTGTTGCTGAGACAAAATACCCAACACTCACAGTTAAAGGGTGAAAGGTTTAGTTGGTTCACAGTTTGTAGAGGTTTCTATCCATAATCTGCTGGCTCCAAGGCAGGGTGGCTTAGCAGAGGAGTATTCAAGAGAGGAAACAGTTCATGGTAGGCAGAAGACAACAAAGCAACAAATGGGATTAGAGTGGTGCCCTAACAGGACTGAGTTTGCAATCACTCACCCTTAATCCAAGCATTGCACTAGGAGTCAATCACATGCTGTAGATATAGCCACCTCTGATAAAACTATGACTGCATGAGGCTTTGGGGGACGTCTAGACACAAACCATAACCTATGATACGTGTTTGCCTTATTATCTTAATTGAATTATTAACCCTATCAGTGTTAACTGAAGTAAGATTAAAACTTCGTATTTGAGCTAAGATTTACTTGTCACTTCAACCTAATTCTTACTTTAACCTAATTCTTGTAAATTAAATTTTTAACGTTAATAACACATAGCTTCAGCATCATATAGAAAACGAATTTTTTGAGGTGAGGTTAAATGTTGTGTTCTTACTGAAATGTGTTCATTTTAGATTTTGTCCAGGTTGCCAGAAATTTGTTTTCCTTGCAGTTGGATGAAGTAAATGTTGGTGCACAAGAAATTTCCAATCTGTTAGATCCACAGGTAGTGTATGCCCTATGGAACTGTCTTAATTGAACGTAAGTCACAGGTCTTGAATGGTAGGGGTCATATATGTAGGCTTTTTAATTTTGCAGTGCTTTTAAAAAAAATACAAATACTATGTGCTGCATGGTTAAGTATATAAAGTACAGTTAAACTTGAAAGTAAGAGTTCATTCTGATTGTTTTCAGCTTTTACTCTTCTTAGCCCCGTGTTCTACTACCTGCTCTTGAGTCACCCATGTGAGCAGTTTGTTAGAGGGAGGAATGCAGAGTGTGACTCTTCAGCTCAGCAGAAAATGCTTTGTGTGTGTCCATTCTAATGTGTTTCAACTCACTGTGAGGTGCACACAGAAAAGTACTCGTAAGAATACAGCCTGTAAAAATACTACAGTCTGAACCATTCTCATGAAAGGTAGTATTAAAGAGCTGCATTACTAGGGCTGTGGTGGTCTACACCCTATTTCCTTGCAGTTATTAGCCACAACAGCATGCTCCTAAAATCAGGGGAACGACTCTGTGCCCTTTTAACAACATAAAGTGTTTCATGTTTTATGGAAAGTGGGATTTTGAAGTTCACTAACTTCATACATCATTTCTTCTACAGAATTATGATATTTATATTGTGAAATCTTCCCATCCTCTTTATTATGGATTTTTGGTGCTGTATTATATAAGGAAGATCTTCTTCCCAATTTATATGTGACTTATTATTTAATTAGCTCAACTTTATTCTTGTTTGTGCACAGATGGCCACTTGTCCTCCTTGTGCTATCATTTATTCAACTATCTAATCTTACTTTGACTTGAAATGCAAACTTTATCTTATACTAAATTTATATCTAGGTGCACAGATGTTTCTAGACCTAGCACTGTGCCTTATGGATTTATTTATATCTTCTGCGCATTATTATTTGAATTCCTGTAGCTTTATAGTACTAGTTTCCTGGTTATCTAGCATGTTGAAATCTGCATTCTTTTTTAACTTCTTGGATTTAATATTCTAGATGATCTTTAGAATTATTTTGCCATGATAATAATTCATGAGACTTTTTATTAAAAATTGCATTGCACTTAAAGAATGATTTGGAAAGAATTGCATGTGACATTCCTCCATTCATTTGGGTCTTTTTTTATGTTTTAGCAAGAGAAAATTACAATGTGCTCCATAGACATCTTCCATTTTTTTTGTTAGATTACACTAAGTATATCACAGTGTATGATGAAACTGAAATTTTTTATTATCATTACATTTTTAATTGATTGATACAGATAACAATTTGTAGAGTGTTTATTTTGTATGATAGCATCTTACCTGACTCCCTTGTTCAACTCTTCTTCATTTATTTTTCTTGGGCTTTCTAGACATTTGAAAGTAATGACATTTTTGGCTTTAAAAAAAAAAATTTACTTATTTGGAATAGTGATGAATAGGAGTGGCAAAACTGGGCAAGAAATAAATTTCCACAATTACTGGATCATTATACATCTCAAATTTTCTTACCATTCTTATTTTTCTGGAAAAATGTGAATAATAGAAATTTTATCTTTTTTTTTAGATTTAAAAATGTTCATCTGTCAAATAGTCTCAGCCTAGGTTTTTTTAGAAGAAGAGACATTTCCAACTTTTTAATTAATGATATTAGGGTATTATCTTATTCAAATTTTGTCCTTTCCTTTCATTTTGGTTAATGTGAATCTTCTTAGAAAACTTTTTGTTTTATCAAAATACCTAATTTATCAAAAATTAACATGGATTTGTTTAGATCTTTAATCTTATTTTTAAAATGCATCTCACAGTAAATTTTTAAATATATAAAACTCATACATTTTTATAGGTCATATTTTAATCACTATTTTGTGTATAGTATTTCCATATGGTTATTTCTTTGACCCCTAATTTTTACAGAATTTCTAATTGTACTGTTTCCTCTGGGATATTGACATTTAGTGTGATTCTACTGAAGTTAAAGAGTTACTCTGTATGATATTAATTATTGACCATATAACCAGCTTATAATCAGTTCAATATTCCTTACCTGTTGAAAAGAATGTACATTGTGCATGTATAAAAAACAGTGTTTTCCATATGTCTGTTAGATTCTGGTTGTTAATTGTGTTTTCAAATTTTCTATTTCTTTATTCATTTTCAACATCTTTTATTATCACCTAGTCTTGTTAATTTTTGTTTTCCACATCATGAGACTGTATTATTAGGTATGGTAAATAATTTTTGAGTTGTCATAGCCTTACAAGTTATTGAATCTCTTTACCTTTAAAAGTTGCTCAGTTTTTTAATTTAGCTTTATGGTATAGCTATACTAGCTTTTTTTTGGTTGATGTTTTGGTTTTATTTCCAAGATTATAATTAATTTTCTTTTTTTTAAAATAAGAAAACTGTATTATAACATTTTAAAATATATTCAGTAGACTCTCAATAGCACCTAATCATTAAAAGAAAGTTTATGGGTCAGCTTTTTTCCTTCTCAGAAATTTGTTTTCTTTGTTAGCTCTTATTTCTATTCCACTTAGTCCCAGACTGTTATCTTTCATTGACTATTCTACACTGGAGGCTGGGTGGGTGGTGCACACATGTAATCCCAGCACCTGGAAGGCTGAGACAGGGCAGGAAGATCTATGTGAGAGACCAGCCTGGGCTACAAAGTGAGCTCAAGGCCAGCCTAAACTGCATAGCAAAATCATGTATGAAAAAGACAAAACAAAAACAAAAACCAAACAAACAAGCCTCTTTTTTTTTTTTTTTTTTTTTTTTTT